TTAAACCAGGTGCATCCAGCATGTGCTGATACAGAATTGGTGACGAGCTCTTCTCATCTGTTAGATAGGTGGGAGTTCAAATTCCCGTATGGCTAAGGACATGCACCACTGGTTAACTTTCATAACAGCGAAACTCGAGTCGAATGTGTCCTAGCTTTGATGTGGGTTATGCACAGTGATCGCGTCAGGGCAGGAGGGAGATACTTTGAACGGGGAAATATGTATACCTGTTACACTCCGATCGCTCCATCTAGGCCTCATGATCGTGCCGTTTCATCCTCAACAAACACCTCTAAAATACGTCAACTGCGAGTGTCCACGCGTAGATGCCGTGCGTGCATCCGCAAGTCCAAAATGATGTTAGATACCGAGCACTGGCATGATAAATTAAAATATGCGTGAAATTCGGTGGACAACTACCTTCGACGATATGTTGAACAGTTGAGTATCCTAGGCGGAGCGGTTGCAGAGTAGGTACAAAACAGGCTCATCAGCTCAAGACAGCTCACTGGTTACGGCGCTAACTTACAGACCGGAAGGTCCATTTTTCGAATGCAACCTCTGTATCTCGACTACTCCCTTCCAGGCTGGAGCAACCTGGCATTATCTTCCTTCGGGTGGCATAGCAGCTATGCAAGTGCACTAGGTCATGCGCGGGAATCTAATCACAGATTCAGGATAAACAGATATTATATCACAACTTGGACGATGCGGTAGTAAGGAACGTTCTTCTTCCTTACGCCGTTGAAAGCACGCTAACAACGTAAAAGGCTAAATTAACACTAATTTGTTCTACAGAATCGCCATCTGTCAACTTTTTCTGGAGGGTCACGGGACTTTATTTAGCTGGTGTCGATCACCGTTTAACTCACTCATGATAGGCGTCAGCAATGTCGATGACCGCTTCCGCTCTCTGTCTCTCTCGCTTCATCTAACTAACTGAAGGGTCACAATTTAATGGGCCGAAGCCGAATTGTGATTGGTCCGAGTAAGCCCAAGCCCACTAGCATCTTGGCAATATAAAAGGAAACAACTTGTTTCTCTCGTCTGTCTGTTTCAATAACAAAGTATCTAGATTTTTTCTTAGCCACGCTCGAGCTCTTTTCACGAATTCATGAATTTTGCTCAGTCATTCCGTTCGTAGAATCCCATTTTATAGTTTGAAGCTGCTACAACACAAGTCCTCGTTTCATTTTGCTTGAAATTCCTTGTCCATAGGAATACTATTCTTGATGTTTGCTTTTTCGGATATGGGTTTCTCGATCGCCAAGTTACCTAGTTGTTGCACATTCGATTGGCGATCGATCTATTGTCTCAGTCCAAATAGGTTACCACGCATGATTGGCTTGCTTGTGTAAGAAACGGGAATCAATGGTTGGAAAGTTTTTGACCTTCGGGATGACCGTTATGGCTATAACGGGCTGTCAACGGCGATCCTTGCGAGACACATTAAAAGAACAATCTACAATGCATAGGAAAACACCGTTAGTTTATTCTTGTAGGCAATACCTTGTAACTTAACATCAGAACAAACAAACCGAATTTTCACCGTACTACAACCAACAGTTTCAGCCGCTGTGTAGAGCTGATTGGTTGACAAGACAACTCTGCACAGACGTATAAAACAGCTAACTGCTCCACACTGTATGGAATTTCGGTGTTTCTACATCCACTGTTCACAGGTTAGTTCTGATGGTACGATCGGATGTGTCGCACCACGAAGTCCTGACTCGCAGGCGTCTCCCCCACCTAAAAGGAGCAGGATACTCCTTCAGAATGTCATCAGTTAGCGGCCGCATTATGTATCTTTTTTATTGGTACGATTTAGGACTTATTTCGTCCATGTAGCCTGTTGAAGGTATTGTTGTTGTGGGGTTGTTGGTAGCAACCTTACAATTGTTATTCGATTCCAAATAGCTAAACTACCTTCATGTCGAAATTCAGGCTCTGAAAACTGTCGCAATGAGGTTTGCACCTAATAATACGGATTGATATATCGAATTATTAGATAGCAAAGCCATTAAGGCTCATGAGTTGTAAGTAAGGGGCCGTATGGTCCACGTGATCCTCGAGATAACAGGACAAGAACGAACGTATGCTGGTCCCTTGTTTGGTAGTTAAGGTCACTCTAGTATCACGTGTGCCCGGAGTTGTTCGGCGCATGTCCCTATAAAGTCTAATCAGGACCGAGCTGTCAGTAGTAACACAGCATGATTACTCAACCACACACACGCCATTGATGAATTTTTCGCTATCAAGTCCGGATCCCTCGGAGCTTGGTTATTCAGTGAAGGTTAGCTGATAAACTTGTATGAACAACATGTTTGAAACATTATTTTTGTGATATTTTTCATTTTTCATCCTTCTCTACATCACCATAGGTTCGATCCTGCTTGTATTCTATAGCTTATGTATGAATCTAGTTTCTATACAGGCATGCTTTATTCCGCCACTTACCAGACTTTTCAGTCTATTTTTGGGATGCTTTGCACACCGATGCATCCCTGTCGTCTAATTTGACGTTCTTCTAGGAGTGTACCATAACTTCCTGTTGCGAATACCTTATTCGGAGGCTGACTGAAAGCACTACATAATGGACCTAGTTGTTTTATCCTCAGTCTGAAGGAAAGTTTAAGAAAAGCGGTATTGTACCTCATGTCCAACAGTAAAATCTCCGCTAGTTTTTATGGCTGTCACGGGGATGAAAAATTTCGTTCAAAAGTTCCAAAATTCAAAAGCCCAGTTGGTTCGTCTCCAGCATATGGTATCCTATCCTAATACGACGATTTAAGCACCTCACCAACCTCGAGCATACCCACACTGCACCCACAAAGTCTTCTGTCAGGTTGGTCAATGGATAGTGTTCTGACAACCACAGTCTTCTTGCCCTACAGATTGGGCCACTGTGTTCGTAGTGTTCCGAACATCGCTGCTTTGCGGTCACGCTTTTGAGCTGAAGACTCCTATCGAAGGCCCTAGTCGTCCTCCTGTTTGGGTTAGGACACCTTGGCGGTATCTCAGCCCACGTACAAGCATGGAGCCAGACGAACAGTCATGGCGATTAAGTATTGATATTTACTACTGAGGCGTTGTTTTCGATTACCTATTAAGGCTCCTAAAACATTCTGTTTCACTCAATCGCGTAAAAAGCATGATAACCTTTTGACTACTTGACAGGTCTTCACAAAGCCCTCCTGTCGCTGATATGCACCTCATCCGAAAATTGCTGCCGAGATCATGCTGCTGCCATAAGAACAATGTAACATGGGCATACCGAACACACTACTCATAAGGTTACAGAAAAAAGCTTTGACGAGCGGGTTTACCCTTCTCTGCATGATATATGCAGACCAGAATTAAACTGCATTCGTTTTGGCACAATCCGAGCGGAAATTTCAAAATACCTGGGGAAATAGAGGTCTACACAACCACTGCTTGTGTTCGTTAGCTAATTTTTCGAAGCTGCAGATGATACATCTTTTTTATCGGTATTTCTCGGCCGACCGTATGAAATTACTTGCACGATCCAATCTGTAGGCGATCCGCAATGGTTCGGACAGTTCTTTCATCGGGTTGGCTATACGTATGTAATGACGACTCTATTTTTAACTTGATTCCACTTCTATGAACCTCTCAATTTGTTTTGATGTAGAGCTCCGTTGCCGCCTTTTCCGCCTGTTTCGGAGCCATCGGTCTTGTTTAATTCAGTTCATTAGCCATAAACTAGGTTTCAAGGTTACGTTAGTTCCAGTTGCTACAGCTTCAGTAGCCAGAAAATGAGAGACTGGGATATTTAGCCAAGCATTGGAGGTGATGGCTTTGATGCGCGAGCTCTACTGACTGTATGATGAAACCATGTCTGCCAGTATCATTGATCAATGGTGAATGGACTGCCGAATCTCCCATCCAGGGGGGCGGCAGATGTCGCACCACCAAGTCTACTGGCCAGTGTTTTCATAGTTCATCTTCAGGTCACATACTGTCCATCTTTCGATCGCTTCTACTAAGTAAATGTCTGGGCGAGAACTCTGCGAGCCAGACTGTCTCCTGGCATGCGAGGTACCAGGGTAGCCCGTGAAGCGTGAGGAATTCAGTTATCTTGAGAGAGAGTTCCCCTTCCTAAAACTATTTGGCATACCTTAGCATTACCTATCCGATGTTCACACCAGACCGGACCAATCGTTCGCAGACACCGATAGTCAAACTGACATCCTTCGTGTGTCCTCTGCGCGTATAGGTCACACCTCTGGTCTATAAAGCATTATGGATCACACTGCTGTAGTGTGAACTCTCACCCTGACGGATAAACTGAAGCCACGGCGGCGCCGTAGGTGTCGGGGGTTGACGAAAGCTGTCCGATGGCTTGAGGGGTTGGTTGGATGTTCAACACTAAATTTCTACCGCGTTAAGTGGTATGATGAACGCTGAACATTGACGTTTACACTGGCGTATCGCACCAACTGAGATATGAGCAGCCTAGTGCGGTACGTCCGGTTGAAAAAGAGCACCATAAACGAGAGATTCATTTGACTTTCCCGTGAAAACTTAATTGCTTTGCAAATGAGTGTATTTCGCTACTTTGCTGCAATTTGGGTTCAAGTCGAACTTAAGGTTGAGGGGACTGCGTCTACCTGACGAGCCCCAAAAAGGGCAAAACCTATCGTGGGCTATTTGAGTGTTTTCAGCAACCTTGTGTATAGTGTGTTACGTCTGTACAATTAATCAACTTCGCTACTATACTTCGGCAGTTCTAACCGAAAATATTCGCGCTTGTACATCAGCTTTTGTTTTCATACCTTGAGATGGTGCATATATATAGATAAAAGGTCGGCATGATGCTAAGCCTTTACTGGTCAGGTCAACAAGTGGCCTAACATGGCATGTGCGTGATTCGATGGTGGCCCCGGACACTGAAAATCGTTCGTCTTTATCGGTCCGGTTCCTCTGTCTCGTTAGGTTTCATCCCACCCTTTCTCTTTTTCTTTCTACCTCAATTTTAGTGCTCGCATTGCTGCTCAAGAAGATGCCCTCGAGCTGGAAAGGGATCTGGAACGGAAGAGACAGAAACTGATGCTACGGAGTTAGCGTCGAACGAATTCACTAAAGCATGTCCTTTTTGGTTTTTGTGTCTGCCGCTGCGCTTTTGAGCTCGACCGCCTTCCCTCCATTCCACACCCCGCCAGTCCTTTGCTTGTGATGCTGTATTGTGATGTGTACCGATGTCTTTCGCAGAACCTGCTTTTTTGCACCCCTTTTTGGTGGATAAGAAGCATTGTGACAACCTGTAAGCAGATTCTGGTTCTTTTTAGTCATCACTGAGCGTTCAGTAACAAAGCCAAACCAGATTTTCGCACCGTGTTTCGCCGTTTACTTAACAGTGCTCCGAACTCACAATATTATATCGGGTCAGGTAGGTCTGAGTGTTGAATGTATGCTGGAAAAGCTAACGATCAATTAGGATAAGCGCTTGTCTACCGGTCCTACGTGTGAGGAAAAGCGGGAATAATATCTGCCTACTCAGATTGTGGCCAGATACCCTACGACGCTTAGGTGCACCAGACAAAATACGACTCCACATTGCTAGATCTACTTGCGCACTGCTACGTATATCTACCTGCTACCTACTTTCGCTTACAGTCGCCAGAGTGTAGAGTTATTGCGTAGCCTTTAATATACACCCAAACAGGGACTAACTAGTTTATATCTGATCACGTATGTTGTTTGATCTTCTGGCTGGAGGACTAATGCAATCTAGACACGTTAGGCGACAGGTACTTCTAGGTGTGATGCCTTGCACATATCAATACTGGTCTATCCCATACTACTATGCTTCCAGGGCGCACTATCTCCTCAAGCAAGTTAAGTGTACTTTTTCAACTTCACTGATTATAGCGGGGTACTATATCGATACGGTATTATGCAACCAACTCATCCAACCGAAGTCTGCAGCAACTAATCTGACCCCGAATATATCAAAGCCTGCTAGTTTTACTGTTGAAGTAAGTCTAAGACCGTCCTGTATTTAAGTCTGCCAGCTAGAGTGCGAGCTTACCTTGGCGGTTGGCTCTTTTTCTCACGCCACTCGTTTATTTGTACTGCTTTCAAGTTGTAAACATGTTTAATTCTTGCTGGTGGTATACGTAAGCTCTTCGAAAAGTGGGCTCCCCCTCTTTTGTGATCAGTCTCCCGGCTTACAGGGACTGCCAGTATAGACTTTCCCGAGAGATTGGACTTATCGATTTCGATACTCTCAGGCGAGTAGCTCGTCCTACCCGTTTCCCTTCGTACGCATCGCCGGTTAGTGACAAACCGTTTTTCCGTTCCACAAATCCGAGATCCTTGTTTTTTAGCTAACCAGACTTTCTTTATGGAAAATTACCCATTTGGGCTAACATCCCCCGTTCGCAGTAGTGGTGTGTGTCATGCATATCCCACAAGACAAATCCAGTAACTTGTCTCCAAACAACTGCTCATCAGAAGAGCAGGTTGAAGACCAAAAATTGAAGATTTCTGGTTCATTGTTACTCATTTTGAAGAATGCCAATTCATTGCTAGAGGTTAAGGAATTTCCAGTCCGTAAGGTATCCTTCCCACCAGGAGAGTATCTTCCGGGAAATCAGAACAACAAATAATAATCGTTCAGCTGTGGTACCTTTTCGGTGCCTAGCTGACAGGCCCTCAATGGGGATCAGAACAAACTCCCTCTTAGCATATAAGTGATCAATATAAGCGATTAATTTGAGTGGTAGAATTAGACCACTGTGCGCAGCATGCGTGTTTCAACTTCGTGGTACTTCATTTGGCCTCGAAAAGCTGTCAATAGAGCCGGCTCACTCATGTATGTAACTGGGTGTTACACATGTCATGATAGTAGCTCCTACTCAACTGAGAAGGAGAAAGAGCTGCTCAGATGCAACCGATCAATGCAGGTTGCTTATTTCCTATCATAGATGCCACCTATCGGCCCCGAGTGAAAATAAGCCGATTGCTGATCTTTCTCTCAAAAAATTAGTGCAGCTTTTAAAGGAAGGAGGTACGCATTAAGACGGGTTTCTAGTGTTTTCTGTAGGGAGGATCGAAGTGCCGCTGCCTTCTTGTCGACTGCTGATCACAAAAGTTCTCGTGACTACCTATTGCCACTCAGTTGGGCCCTGGGAATGAACTTGAAGGTTTACGACTGCACATTTTCTCTCAAGTGTCATCAAGCTTTTGGTTCAGGTGACCCCCCCCCCCCACTGTTCTGTCCTCAGTCAACGCTTGTCTGATCTGCTTGCCTGTATTTGGGGAAAGTAGTGTCCCAGGCAACTGGGGAGAGTCAGTGATAGTGACCGTTTTCAAAGTGGGATTCAGAGTGAGGGCTGTAACCAGAGAGAGGTCACGTTGATTCCGGTCTTAATGAGACTGTTCGCATCACCGGCGCTTCATCGTCTTATGGTAGATCATGAAACACTGACTCGGGAGCAGCAAGAGGGGTTCCGGCCTGGTAGGGGTTGCGTTGACCAAATCTTCACCCTCTGTCAGGTGCTGGAAAAACGATATACGTATAAACGACCCATATTTATAGTATTCCTGGACATCCAAGGCGCATTCGACTCGGTAGACGGGTCTGTTGTTCTTGACATGCTTGCTCATCAAGGAGTGTCCCGGAAGCTTGTGAACAATACGTTCGTTGTATTCTGAGATTTCCGGACGTATGAGAGTATACGGAGAACTCTCCAAAAGCCTCGGTACACAGCGGTGTCCGTCGGTGATACCTACTCTCTCCATCCCTATTTAATTTCGTGGTCGGTGAAGCAATTGAATGAACGCTGGCAGGTCTTCAAAACTCTGATATACACAGCCGCTGATGAAAGCCTTGTCGATCTAGAATACGCAGATGACATCATTGTTGTCTGCGAAAGACGTAGGTGCCTTTAGATGAACTGACCAAAGGTATCCCATCCTTTGGCGTACTCGTTGCACCCACAAGAGTGTAAG